ATCAATAAGTACCCGAAGATTATTTAGGAATAGTGTTGGAGGCACAGATTTCTATATATACTACTAGATAGAAGTCTATGCTAACTCGTTTGAAAAAGTTGCCCCCAATTTTGATGTAACATTATACGCATGCGTCGAAAATCGCTCCGCGTGACCGCGTGACGTATATCTGCACATGCGCACACATCAGCACACTATTTTGAACAGATTAACTTAGATCTGTTTTCTGTGGCTGAACTAGTGTATACTTTTGGGACTTAAAGTGAGATAAGTATGTATGATATTTATGTATGTTTGATATTTATTGAAAGCGAGAAAGAGAGTTCTAGTAGAGGAATAGAAAACAGACCACTAATTTTAACAGTATTAAAACCACAAATATTTATTTGCATAATCCAGCTATTATAAATTATTCTAATTTATATGAAATTGAATACGATCGCATTTTTTATATACGTTTAATAATATTCAATTGTCTTTCCAATATCTTTACCTTTTTACTTGAACTCTTTCTTTTTCAAAAGAAACAAAATTTTTCACTATGAAATCGCACCACTTTTTCTTCCAAAAGAAACAATATTTTTCACTATGAAATCACACCACTTTCATAATATTATACGTTTAGCACGTGAACAGTTGATGCAAAACACAGCCATACTGCATTCCTTTGGGTTTATTCGTGACGCATGCGCAGAACTACCATACAATTTCGGGGTCCATTTCACATAAGTTTGTCCTAAGGAGTTAGCAGTCTAGTAGTATATATAGAAGTCTGTGGTTGGTTATTTAAAAAAAAAAACATTTAATGATTAAATTTTGATTATTGTAAAACAATAAAGAGGATAAACCTTATTTCGACATTATTCATTCCTACAGTTCTGTAACTTCAGAAGTAAATATCTTTTGAAACGTTTGCGAGCATACATCCAGAGAAAAATTTTTGTTTGTTTTGAAGTCCTAAATTCATATTTTAAGTTTGGCGATTTAACCCGAGAAAAAATCCTGTATAAAGAAGTTTGTTACATACAAAGCAATAAATGTAAGTCATGGCTAAAGAGAAAACATGCGCAAATATTAAAAGTTCATTCATAAAAAATTGACGAATAATAAATTGTGCGTTAAAAAAATCGAAGACATTTAATATTCGCAAAGTTTATAAAAATTAAAGTAAAATTTAAAGTAAAAATATTAATAGAAAAATATAAATAGGGACATATTTAACATTATCTATATAACAGGTTTCCGTATAAAAATAAATAAAGGTCACAAAAAGAAGTCATATCAAAAGTATTAAACATATATATAACAGAGTGTTATTTTATTTATTTATTTTTCCGTTTTATATTTATATATATATATATATATATATATATATGTATGTAATTAGCGTTTGATGCAGCTTTTTAGCATTTATTTTTATAGGGCAATCTAATTTATGTCTGATTTTTATAGATTATTAAATGTGTCTGTATTTATATATTTTTTATTAATATATTTGTACATTTTTAATTTTTAATTCATGAATTGATGAAAACAATTTATATACGAAACGTTTTCAATCTTTTTACTATCCACTATTCGTAATTTTTTTATAATTCCACTTTAAAAAAAATATATTTGTTTTTTTTATCATTTATCTTACATTCATTTATTGCTGTCTTATTTATAGACCCATATCATGATTATATCATTAAAATTTTGAAAATTTTTTCAGGTAAAGAAAGAGCAAACTTCTGTGGAGGAGAAAGACGAATTTGATACGCTGGTCGATTCTAATACTAAATCCCTCGAACAAAGACTTGGAAATTCTCCTGAAAAAATGGAAAAGAAACCTACAAAAAGAGGTTGATAAACTTTAATTCATATAGCGGATATCACAGTGAATATTTTAACGATAAACTTTTTTACTCTTGCAAACAGGATTAAAACAAACAACATTACAATTTAAACCGATTAAGAAAGGAGCAAAAAAGAAGGATAACGACTCAGACGAAAGCGAAGATATTGATTTTGGTAGTATTTCGCCACTTCCACAACCACGGTCATCTCGTAGAGCCACAGGTCAGTCTCTTCATTTTTCTTTTGAGTCAAAAATTTATTAAAATAGATTACATTATGTCTTGTTTTTCCGAAAATCTTTTATTTCTTTGTTTAAACTAAAATAGCCAAGAAGAATTATAACCTTGACAGCGATGATTCGAATGAAAGTGTTCAAGAATTATTCAATCAGTCTTCTGATTCGGAACAAACGTAAGTACAATTGTTATATATCATGTTGACTTGCTTCAAAGTTTCTTCACATACATCGCATATTTTCTTTAGATCCAAGAAGAAAACCTCCCTTATAGCACTGAGCGATTCCGACGATAATATTAAACCGAACAAGAAACCACAATCAGCACGTAAGTAAACATAACATATATTTAAATTAAGCAATGTGATTATATACCTTACAGAAAATATTAGATATTTATTTATTTCTGCACAGCGACTTCAGAAGAACTTTTTGATTCGTTAGTCGGCAATTCTCCTGAGAAGTCTTTACCTCAATCTTTACCTGAAAAAAAACCTTTAATATCCTCATCCGGAGAAGATTCGCCTATAAAATTTGCATCACCTAAGAAGGGTAATAAATGATTACCTGAATCATACAGCTAAATAAAAGTTATTTCGTAATCATTGTTCATCTCTTATATTTACAGCACGTTCCAAGAAAAAGACTGAGAACGGTGGTAACAAAGGAGTGAAGAGACAATTGAAGAAGAAATTGAAATCATCCGAAGACTCTGACACAGATGAGTTATTTATCACTAAACAAAGAGTAAGCGCGACATTTTCGATATATTCAATATAATAATTAAGATAATGTCATAAGAATTTTTTTTTTATTTAATTTTCATTTATAGAAGAAGAAAAAGAAGGTATCAGAATCAGATGAAGAAAAGGTATCTGATGATTCGCCGCCCCGAACCGGTAGAGCTCGGAAGCCAGTATCTTATGCACTAAAGTCAGATGACAGCGACGACTCCAATTGAACATCACCCTGAAAAATGCGAGACGTAGTTGACTGGAGTAGAGTTTAGAGTGTGGATCAGACAAGACGAAACTCACAAATCGTCATGAAGAGATGTTGCACATAAGTTTATTTGGAGAATTTTCAGAGATTTCGTCCCCGCTGATGGTCGTGAAATTAGTAATAATTTTATGAGGGGTACTTCGAACAGGATCTGCCAGAATGTGGAATATGTTCTAAGAATAATTTTGAGGGCAGAAATAATTTGGAATAAAAATTTGTATTTCTGCTTTTCTCGAATAACATTCGAAGATTTACTTGAGCAATACAGTTGCTCGACCTCTGGCACATTCTTCCTGAAATGCTCCATACAATGTTGTACATAATTTTACTCTTTTGAGTATAAGTACGCATAAAATGTTGCGAATGAATGGAATTTCGTGAAATTAAAACGCTGTAGACAATGCTGCAGAACGTACCCGAGTATGCTCAGAATACTCACGTAAATTTCATCGTATGATCGAAGTCTCCTCGGAAAAAAAAAAATTCTTTTAGTGCTGACTGTATATTGTGTTATATTGTGATATCGAATTTTCACGTGTTCGTGTTTTAGACGTTTTATTTTTCAAAAGCTCGAGGAGAATACGTGGTACGCTTCTATCTTGCAAAAAAAATGTCCAGCGTCGCCTCTATGCTAGATAGATTAATTAGTACCGCGCAAAACGAGGGAATACTTCTCCAGCGCACAATCGTTATTATATTACTCTCCTCGTCAAAATTTTATTTGTATATAATTCGATAAAACTTAAAGAAAGAGAAAGAAACAGAAGAGAGAGAGAGAGAGAGAAAGAGAGACATGCCGATTCCGGAAAATAAACGTAGAAAATGAAATAAAATATGAAATATATACAATTTTTAAATATATTTTTACATACGTCACAATATGGATTTTTTTCAGATTATCTAAAGACTAAAAGAAATTATACAGCGGTAACTAACTATTATACATATATACATAGAACGGATCTTAGAATTATGCGGCGCTCAATATCGGTTAAGCAAAGCTGTCGGACGTTTTAACTTTATACTGACCACGCGTAGAATAAAGTAAATTTACTTAGTGCTCATAGGTAACAATTTGTAGATTTTGAACTTGAGCGAGAGTCAAGACTCGGCGTGATCGAATAGTTGAGAGAGTCACGATTGTAACTAGAATTAGGAAAAAAGAGCCGGAGCTAAAAGTTAATGCGAATCAAAAATTGATCGATTCCCCTCACAATTTGCGTGCTTATCCTCCTCTCTCTCTTCTCTCATATATAAACGTTTTTATTTTACTTTCCATATACGAGTTCGAAGAAATTAATTAACTTCGAGGCATATTTGGTGTTCATTGAATTTCACTTCTCCGACACAATTATACTAGTTCTGTGTACGCATAACTTGTTCACTCGTAGGATAAGATAAAAAGAATTATTGTGGTTGTAATTAGCGCAACGATTTTACACCTGCTATTAAATGAATATCTCAATACAGAGACCAGTCGATTAGCCCTCGGCCCAAAGCGCGCGCGTTCTCAGCCTAATCAATACTTCGTGTAACTTCGGCGATTTTCATTTTTATATAATTCACACATACTAAATACGTATATATAAATATATAAATAAAATGTTCTAACTTTTGAGACATTCGGCAATTCATTGTTCAACATCGTTCGCCAAAAACGAAAGTGACGGAAGAGAAACGAAAAACAGCGGGGATATATCATGCATACCGTGAGAGATGCGTGTGATTTATATTTAATTAATAAGTTTACTAATTTTAAATTATACACAAATACGTAAAATTTATTGCTATAACGTTTTCATACACCGCCCTCGATACCACGCAATTCCTGTTTCTTTCCTTTTCATTCTTTTTTTTTTATCGTGAGGAAGATCGTGACTATATGCCGACATGCAGGGACGATTGGAAAAGAAAAAGACCAGTATTTAGTATTACGGATATTATAATAGTATGTAGATCATGGCAATACCTTATAGTCGATGGGAAGGTATTTTTCTTTCTATTTGTGCTCAGTGAAAAGTTTTCGATAAAATCCTTTTTTTTTTTAATTTTTCCGTTTCTATTTTACATGCACGTGATTGCATTCACCGATTACGTTTCACAGAGAATTCCATATAGATATGTATAAATGTAAAATTATCCTTCCTGTCGCAAAGTATACGAATCCTATGTATTCTCGCGTAAATGTTCATCATTCACCACGAGAGATCTCGAAGGCGTTAAACGTTTGGCAAATTACATCTTCGAATAATTTTTTGAAGGCCGGCTGCAGTAAACTTTTAGAGATAAGCTTTACTCAATCTAGGTTCATCGAAAATGATATAATGGAGAAACAATGCAGATAACAATTTTTACATTTTATTAATCGCGTTAATACTCCTCCCTCCCCCCTTCTCTTCCTTATCAGCGAAAAGAATTTCGGAAATCTACTTCGTAGAGGAAAACTGTCGAATTGCAACGCGAATTATATCCCTTTGGAATCATGTCACCTCAAAGAGCATTAATGAGCACGATTAATGCGACACATCGCGCGTGTAAAATAAAAAAAGAGCGCACTCGCGTTTTTTCGCGAAAAAAATGGGATGCGGGATGCAGGAACGGTTGATCTTTTTTTTTTTCAAAATTGAAGCGACGGATCTAAGTAGTAGACTCTGTTCAGACTTGTAATGTATTCTCCTCTCTCACCACACTTCTGCCAATCACATTGATGGTATTGAATTGTCATCAATACCCCGGTGCCCACATTGTACCAATAACTGACGCAATATTTTAACAACACACACACTCGCTCGCTTTAATCTCACTTTCGCTCTCAACACATTCTCTCTTCATTCTCTCTTTCTCTCTCTTTCTTTTACTCCCAGAAGCTACGGCTCGCCGACGGACGCGACTATAATACAAAGCAAGGGCACTTGATAAAATAACTTAGTTTTCTATTTCATAATTATCTATATATAACGTACATATATAAAACAAATTACGAGTAAAGAAATAATGATTGGGTCGGTATAGCATTTCACGGACTTTCTTATCTTAAAGATTTGCTCGTTTTTCCTTATCCTCGTCATATTTTTCCCGTACTTCTCGTCTGATTAATTAATTATAAATCATTTAACCGTTTCTTTAAACTTGCTCTGTACACATACATTTGGATCCGCGCTTTCTCTTTCTCTCGCTCTCCTTTTCTCTATCTCTCTAATTTTAGAGAAAAAAGAGAGAGAAAAGAGAGGAGAGAAGAAAAAAGGAGGAAGAGTGAAGGAGGAAAAACGTAATGCGTGGCTTCGTTACAGCGAATCGACACGGGGTTTTAAACGATACACGCGTGAGAACGGGTTTTACAAGTGGTGATGATAAGTGGTGGACTACGATGCTTTTTTTTAATTCACTTTGGGAGCACATCGCGACTCTCTCTCTCTCTCTCTTTCTCACACACATACACTCTTGTTTTTTCTATACGATTCTCACTTCGCTCTCTATCGGACTATCGTTCCGGCATTATAGATAAAGCCCACTCTCGTCTCAGAATAGGAACAACCAATCAAATCTCCTTCGTGTACTCGTGTCGTGTATGTGTTTTCGTATGTGGGCGTGGATGCGCGTGTATGTTAACCGTTATTAGTCATGATACAGGTAATAATGTTAATATTCGAATAAAGTAACATGATGCACGGGCCGAGCATTCATGGAATGCCGGTACCGGCGCCGGAGGTCATGCGAGGATAGAGCCACCACAGTTGTCTTCCCACTGTCAATGCTTGTCGTCGTCGTTCTTTTTACACCATATATATATATATTATGTCGAATTTATTAGTTTATATATATATATATATTTATATATATAGTATAAATATATACACTCACACTAATTTTAACAATCCTCTATCGTTCGCTCACGCACACTAAAACGCTGGGAGAGAGAAACGTCATCTCCGTGAAAGCGATTGCTCCGATTGCTTTTCTCAACTTCTTCCTACTTTTTTCTCCTATTCTTCGTTGCTTCCTTTATCTCATCAACTTTATTTTGCTTCCATCGAAAAAAAAATTCATTTTACTTGATGCTCTTGCGCTTTCTTTCTCTCTTTCATACATGCTCTATTTCCCCCCTCCCCTCTTATTCTAGACGTCACTTTTATCTCGTAATGACTTATCACATGTTATTTTCTCGTTCGCACGCTCGTTCGTTCTCTCTCGCTCTCTTGTTTCTTTTAAACACTATTATCAAGTCATCGCACTGTTTGATACAAGGAACGATAATACAATTGAATATTTACGAACACAACATTGTTTCTTGTCATGCTGAATAATGTGGCGTGGCTTGTAGAAAGACGCAAGCTCCTGGACTTGCGGGTGACCAGTCTCGCATCTCTCTTGCAATGTCCTATGTAGTCGATCCTGTAAGTATAGTTGTGATGGTGTGGTGATGGCGGTGATAGATGTGATAATAATTGTGGTGGTGGTGATGGGTGGTGGTAAGTAGTGATGGTGGGTGGTGACGATGATAGTATCCGGTTTTAGTATTTACAATTGGTTATAGCAATCGTTATTTCCCTAAGATGAGATGGTGTACACAGTCCGAGCGCTCAAGATTTGGCATGTATTGGTATATATCGAGGATTTTGTCCTTAGTTCTTCCTCTCCACTACGAACTGCTCGACGCGTTCATACCACTAAACATGCCGATATTGAACGAGCTCTGTTGCTGCTGCTGGATCTGTTGTTGTTGCTGCTGCTGCTGGCTGTTCGCTTGGCGGCCATGTTTTGGCACTGGGGGTTGCAGGTATTCGTGTCTAGCTAGTGTCAGTACGTCTATACGTTCTTCCTTCCTATACGCTAGGCAACTTCTTATGAAACTCTGTAACAGTAAATAGTCGCATTATAAAATAGCTCTCAATTTTTCATTGTTTTTTTTTCTCACTGACGATCTTACCTTTGCTTCGTTGCTGACGGTTGGTTTATTCGCGAACTGGACTTCGGTGGCTTTTAGTATCGTATTCTCCTCTAAAATGGTGGCTTGCGATTGATTGTGACCAAAAGGCTACAAAAATAATTTTTTTTAAATACACATGTTTTATTATATTCGCGATAAGTGAAACTTTGTGAGATATATATTGCAATAAATACCTTTTTACCGTATAGACATTGATAAAATATAACTCCTACACTCCACACGTCAACCTTGGACGATATTTTAGGAGGATTTTTGCCAATGACGAAGCATTCAGGAGGTAGGTACCTATAATAAATGCAAAAGTACAAGTTTGTAATCTCCATTAATAATTAATGAATAACATAATAAAATAATTTAAGAGAAAATACATACCAATAAGTACCCGCTCCTTGGGACGTTAGATCCATTCCGTGATCCGGATTATAATTTTCCTCGTCCATCACTTTACTTAAACCGAAATCCGTGATTTTTATTTCACCACACACATTGCCTTCGGTTAACAGGATGTTACCTGCAAACGGGAGCATATAAATAATGAAATCATACTTACTTGCGTATAAAAATAATCCTTATAAAATTCTTCGTTAATAACTATTGTATTCGCCAGGTAATATTTACCTGGTTTTAGATCGTAATGTATGACTGGGGGTTTTATTTCATTGAGGTATTTTAATGCCGATACGACTTGCATAACAATAGATCTCGCTTCTCTTTCGGGTATAGTCTTATGCTGCAATGAATTTAAAAAAAAAAAGACAGTTCGAAAATAATGAAAATTTATATTACAATCTACTATATAATCATTAAAATAGAAAATTCGCATCAAGTGACAATTGAACGCTTACCTGCTTGAGGTAAAAATCTAAATCATGGCCATCACAATATTCCAGAACAGTACAAAAGGAATTGGCATCAATTTCAAATACGTCGTACAATTTTACGACTCGAGGATGATCAAGTGCTTTGTGTATATTATATTCTCGCAATGCATGTCTGTTGTAACAAAAAAGAACAAGTAGAAACATCCTTCTTGAGAGGAACTAGACCATATTGTTATTAATATCTTTTCTTTTTCATTGTTAAAACATCTTTATATTAATTATCAGTTATAATAAATTAATATCGATAGAAGAGGAAACTTAAGGAAACTTACTTTATGTAATTAGCCTTCTTGTCTTCTTTCCAGTCTTTATTTAATTGATGCACCTTACAAGCCACGTACCGTTGCTCTTTTAAGTCAAATGCCTATACGCGAAAAAAAGAGCAATCAAATATTTTGATATACTTACATAAATTAATATGGCTAACGAAAGCAAGAGATAGAAATATTTCGTTACCTTATGCACTTCACTGAAACCGCCTTTTCCTAACAACATTAGTAAGAGATATCGCTCATTCAAAACAGGATGAGAGTTAAATCTCGATTGGTCCTCATTGTGAATTCGCTTTAACTCTCTAATGTGTAAATTTCGCTCCCTTTCGAGTTTTTCCATTTCTAGTTGCAAATCTGCGTCTTCCTTTTTCAACGCACTTTGCCTCAACTGGAAGCACACATCGCGAAGCTTAAAAATGTTGAAAAATCGAACATTTATGGAAAATATAGTCGTAAAACGTTGATACCTTGAGTATTTCATCAGCTTCATAATACTCCTGCCACGTATACGACCCAGGTACTGCATCTGGCTTCAAAAATGTCGCCTCGGTACCGTTATGCAAGGAAGGTTGTGGTTGACTACGTTTCCTGCCTGTCTCACTGTTCGACGGCCTCTTCTTGAGTAGCAGCTTCTTCTGCTTGTCGATCTCCTCTCGTTCCGTTGCTATTTCCTCTTGCCGTCGTGCAAGCTCGTGAAATGCATAACCGTCGGTCCAGTTCTCTTGAAACGTCGCACCCACCCTTTGCGTCACAAACTGGCCCAACCTCAGTCTATTTTGCATACACTTCTGCCTAGCCTCCTTTTTTTCTATGTTTGATTTTTCTTTTAATAACTTCTTTACAACGTCTATACACTTATTTATATGTGATTTGTGCTGCTCAAGCACTTTCTGTTGATTAGCGATTTGATGCCTAAGTTCGTCCGTTGTCTGTAAAATTCAAAGATGCTAGATTAATTTGTTATCAAGATACACAACATAGCTCTCGCTTATATAATAAATTTTAGATTATGTATTTTATGTGATCTAAAGTAAGAGCAGTGAGAGAGAGAGAGAGAGAATTTGCATAAATATCATAATCACGCCTGCACTTACCCTATTTAACTCGTCAATTTTATTGTTACGTAGTTCTAAGTCTGAAGAGGCTTGAGTTTCAAATTCCTGTATCCTCTGGCAAGTAAGTTCTGTCTGGAATGCAATTTGTATAATTTTACGATAAATGAAATATTACCGTAACATCTGATACATTTGTCAGCATTACTCAAAAATACTGGATACCTTGCTATACGCAGAAGTGCATAACATAAGAAACAATTTGTTAAATAAATTAACAAAGTTACACGGTAAGTATACAACGTCTATATTTGGTGTTCTATTAACTATCTGTTTAATTACGTAATGTAATCATTTCTATATTTATCTGTCACTACGACTGACTTTCTTTTTGTTATAGAAAATAAATTAGTGAGCAAAACTTAGGCAACGTGAACAAACGCTGATGGAATTGAGGGTCACACAGGCAGCAAGGAAAACACCAAAAATGTACGCATGTATAAAATGCTCTCATACAAATGTCAATATATAGATATATAACCCCAACAAAATTATTAATAGATCATCTTGGAACAGTTAAATGATATTGGACTCGTTAGAACTTAAATGCAATGTTCAATGAATCCAAAGAAATAAAGATACGATACAAAGCAATAAAATATGTCCTTTGACAACACTCGCAACTCGAGCATTGTTTACAAATACAGTACGATTATTTTTATTTTCAAACATATTAGAATCCTTAAAACAAGTATCTTATAACATAAACGAATGGCACTACAAGATAGCCTGTATTTGTATAATAACAAATGTATACAGTGCTACAATTTGGCCAAAGATTAGCTGATTTAACTGAAAACATTTGACAAGAAATGCCCACCACAAGATCATAAATGCATACGAAAAATCTAATCTACCTACGTTGTACATAGATCACAAACAAAACAATTCTTAAATACAAAAAATTAATTTTTGATAATCTGTCCATTCTATGTTATTTATATATCTCTCGCTTTTACCATTTTGTTTTTACACAAAAAATTAATTCAAGACAAATTTTTAGGAAGATAATATCTCTAACAGATAAATTTTTATTAAACAGTAATTCTATATTTTTATCGGTATATTTTCATTGTTAGGAGTGACAGTGGTAGTTTTATTATTATATCTATTTACAACACAGTGTGGTAGAGTTGCTATATTTTATTATATTAACAATGAAAACATTTCAGAAACGTTTAAGCTTATGTATTCTTATAATGTATTCAGCATTGCTGAATACATGCTGACTATATATATATATATTGCAGTAGAAAGACACGAATACAAATTGTGGGACGTTTCTTATAAAATGCTTGCAGATATTACCGAATTTTGCTTACATTTGGGGTGTTAGTCTTCGCTTGCCTGACCTGGCTTGTCCTATTGAGGTTGGTAGGCCTTACCTGCACCTGCTTGCTGACCATAGAGCCTGCAGGTTGCGACGAAGCTGGTGGAGGAGGTGGTGGAGGTTGAGGATGAGGTCTCGGTGGCTGCATCAACGAAGAGAATTCCGCCACCGAAGAATTAGGTGTTGTTACTTGTGGCGAAAGTAACTGTTGTGGCGATGGTGGGTACTGTTAGCGAGGAAACATACGTTATACAAACATCACAAAACTATGAGACCATTTTTGTTTACGTTTATATGATATAATCTTACCATAGGATAACCCTGTTGAGGGGAAGGGCTCTTGGCTCCACCGTGCCGAATAGGGCTATTGCCCAGATGATGCTTTGGAAAATACTCATTGATCTTCTTATTATCAAGAGCAGCAACTGATCTAGCACCCTTACTAGCTACAGAGCCACCTGCGACACCTCCACCTCCATCATCGGCTTTACGTTTTCTTTTCCTCTCAGAAGTAGTCCGTGGTACTTTTTCCGGAGTGTTTGCATCCACCTCCTTATCACTATGCGATGAGCCTGCAGAATTATAATCCATTGTCAGAATGACTATAAAAGGTATACCCTTAAATTTTGATATCAATAAGGATAATAATAACAAATCAAAGGACTGCCTGTTTATTTGAAAGAATAATCAATAAAAATATTCAAAAAGAATTTTCTTAGATACACAAGACTTTATTCTCGAGGCAAGATAGTTGTTCAGAAGACTAAGATGTGCAGAAAGCACTTAGATATTTCAAGCAAGATTCCTGTTAAATGCGTATCAATCGAAGAATGAATCTGACTTACCAGTGCTCATGTTCGAGTCTTGACTATGAACTGTCTGACCAGAGTTTACGGTTGTTTGGGGTGCCATCTGAATTTGTGACCCAGCAGACATCTGAAAGCAGAGGACGGGCGATGTAAAATATACTGCGAGCTTTGGTCGAGCGACGAAAACAGCACACAAGAGGAAAGAAACAATGCAACAAACCAAATAGTGACGGACTATAGTCACGAAGAGCACCTGGGCGATTCAACCGTTATCGAATGTAAGGCACGTCGCCGCCACATAGTAATGACGAGTCGTACGACGAAGCCAAAGTGGCGTACGAGATCGACCACGAACGATAGCGATGACAACGACGAGTACGAGAACGAGAACGACGAATGCGAAACACGGCGAGAGAGAGGCGGCTTCAATGATCCCTCTCGGGCGCCGTGCGAGCAATGCGAGAGAGGTTACGCTTCGCGAATGGCGAAAACCGGCGTACGACGCTTCGAGAGAATCGTGTATTATTAAAAAGACACAATTTATACTAGGGGGAACAAACCTGGAAGGATAGAGAAAGACTTATGGAGCAGAGAAAAAGGGGTGGGATGAGGGGCGCCGGGCGGTGCGTGGAGGGGCAAGGAAAGAGAAACGAGAGAGAGAGAGAGAAAGAAAAAGAGAATGCATATGAGTGAGAAAAAATAAGAGAAAAGGAGAGAAGAATGGTAGCATGTAAAAAAGAGAAAGAATAAACTGACGGCTAGAGAAAGAGAGACAGAGTCAGAACGATAGAGAAAGAAAGACCGACACCTTCCAGGACGACCTATGGTGAAGTCCCATAGTAATCGTGCCGTCCGGGGCCGATTGGCGGTCTGTCAACGGCAAACGGAATTTTCACGCGCGATCCTGCCGTGAGTGGTGGCGGCGGCGTGTAAGGGAAATGTCCGATATACGTTTAGAGCTAGAGGAATCACGACAAAATGGAGGACCTTAGAGCAGCGGGGAGGCAGGCGGGCGGGCGGGAAAGAGAGAGGGAGGGAGGGAGGGAGGGAAAGCGAGAGAGAGAGAGAGGCTCAGATCGGCGCGGCAATTTGCGATGGGATTTCGGTGCACCGTACTCTGGCGCACGATTCGAGAAGTGCATGGGCGATGATCGGTAACCGCGGGCGCACACCACGAGGGGGCAGTTTTACTCACTACGTTGCGCTTCTGAACTCCCTACGGCACGGGGCCGAGGCCGTGGTTTTTAACTCGGGCTCTCTTTCTCTCTCTCTCTCTCTCTCGCGCGCGCGCGCATATTTTCGTATAAGCGGCATCATCCGCGGCCACCGGCGACAACAGCGGCGTCGGCGAGGCGGTCGCCGTGGAAGGACGGGACGCGCTGCGCCTCTTCGATTAACAGCACCGATAAGCGAGAGAAGAGAGCGACGACACGCTACGTCATTCTGGCCGGCTGTACGGCGCGACGCGCAAAGTGTGACGTCGTCGTGCGGCCGTTGCGCGTCCCGCGTAGCGATAAATTACGCACCTACGCGCGCGTCACCTTCTCTCTTCCTCCCTAGGCACTCATTTTTCTCTCGCTCCCGAACGGCCACGAACGATACGTCGCTACATGTTTTCATATCCATCCCCCTCTCCTTCCTTCCTCCCTTCCTCCCTCCCTCCGAATTAATTATCACGAATAGTCCGTCATCGATCTGTCGTCGCGAAATCAAACGAAGAGCCACGAGAAACTTGACGTTTATGTGAGATTTTGCAGAGAGTTGCCACAAATTCCTAAAATTCTAAAACCTTTCTCCGATTTCCAGATAAATTTTCATGATTTTCCCCGATTTTCAACAATATTTTGACATTGTTTTGTGGTTTCATCCTGATTTGGAAATTATTAAATATTTTCTTGAGAGAGCAAATTACTATTAACATTGCTGACACTGTTTGCATTTAATTTTTCAAGTTGGCAGTATTCCAAAACTGCATAAGTGTGATGTACCCATGTTAAATTTCTTCAAAACCGAGAATTTTAAATTTCTAGAAAATTTTGCGAAATTCCCTGAATCTTTGCTGATTTTTCTGATCGTTATCATTTCTGATAGTTTTGTGACAACCCTATCGCTAAATGGTGTCCATGTAACTGAATATTACAGTACGGCAATTACATTTTCCTTATTTAAAATCACATTTCAACGGTCATCTCTAGAAAGATTTATTTTTACGTTTGAATATCGCGCGGTCTACCGGTACGTACTGAAGTTATGCGAGAGTAGCGACGACTGGCTTACCCATTCTTGCTTGACGTGAATCGTCGAAAAATCTAGTCTGATTTAATTGATCCGATTAGTTACGCACTTCTTACTGTGCGTCAACTTTGCACGGCGATCTACTTAGATTGATGATGCTTTTATTTTTGTCGTGGCGCTATTCCGAGAGAGACTGTTTTATCTTATTTATATCTCGGCGCAGACTAGGAGAAAGAAAACGCACGTGAGACTTATGAGGAGCAAGTCCTCCTATGTGAAGAACAGAAACGAATATCGCTTACTTAATCCACCGCAGTGAAATTGATTTTTTCTTGCGACGATCTTGCAAAATTAGATTACTAAACAATGACCGATAACTTATCTTTTTTTTTTCTATTTCTATGATTTTTTATAAAGTCATGACGTATTCGAGCGGCGTGATACTTGAGATTGATTCGAAGGACAGATAAATGCGTAATGTTTTACTTTTTAGAAACTCACGCTGGGCTCTTACAGAAAAATACACGTAATCCTTTTTTCATCGTTGACACGTCGACCGCCATAACGATGAATGTATCTGACGTTTGACGCGAAAGGAATAAAAAAGAAGGAACGATAACAGCCAAGTCAATTTACCAAGCTGATATACAAAGAAATACAAGAGTTAGTCACAAGAGTCTAAATCGCAATGTAAACACCGTATACAATTTCAGGTATTTCCACGTCAAATCTTATGTTTTATTTCCTCAAGCCCGTAATTCGCGCCGTCTCGCAGGTAGCTCGGTCACGTGACCGGTAGTGTAACTAACGCGCCTCTCGACCCCGAGACTATGCGACAACGAGATGCTCGATCCCGCGGATTCCTCACGTATCGTGCACGACCGGCATGAACAAATTCACCGCGGGAGAGGACAGCAAACTTCCTTATCGATGGATCAGTGGCCGTGCCCGGAACTGGGCTAGAGGGCCGGTGGAAAGAAATAAAGAGAGAGAGAGAGAGAGAAAGAGAGAGAGAGAGAGAGAGAGAGAGGGGGGTGGGGGTGGGGGGACGATGTATCTTGTCTCATTGACTACGTTCAACAGAAAAAAACAACTTTGCAATTGTTGTAAAATTCTTCGATACAATTGGTCTTGCTCCTAGTTCCTCCCCGGATCCAAGTGTATAAACGAATCGCATTAAAGAATCTTACGACACTTGCGAAGCTGTTTTTTTTTTTGCTAAACGCAACCTTTCTCTCTCCGCTGTCGTTACGACGACGTATCGTCGAGACGGATGAGGCACCGTGTTGTGTACGATCGCGCACAGCAGATGCGCGAAATGATGTGTGTGTGTGTGTGTGTGTGTGTGTGTGTGTGTGAGATGAACAGTACGTGTGTGAACGACATGCGTGTAAAAACGTATATGAAGCGATTCACGCATAAGTAGAAGGCTGACGTATATACATACGTACGTGCGAACCCGGTAAATCGGGGCATGTAGGACTTTTACAATGTACGCCTGTAACCCTGGCGACCTGGCCCTGGTGTGGCCATAACCGCGAGGTCGGTCTGTTCACGAACGCACCGTGGTCGAGTGGTACGTAAGACCGAGTCGCGTCTCGTAGAGTGTTGTACGTCTACGAGACAGGGCTCCTCTCTCTCTCTTCTCTCTTTCTCTCTCTTTCTCCGTCTCTCTTGCGCTTCGCCGCACGAGGTCCGTTTACTCCTGGATGTGCTCGTAAATGTTGACGTGCGGCTGGCGCGCCGAGTAAACAGCGGAGACGGTGGCATCAGCAACGGCACCAGCAACGGCAACGGCAACGGCAACGGCGACAGCGACGGCAGCAGTCGCAGCCGTACCGTGCGACGTCAATGGACACAACAGCGAGCGGCATCACGCGCGTATATACCCGCTCCTTCTCTCTTTCCTGCGCCTCGCGCACAGTGCGTTATGAGAGAGCGCGAGCCAAAAACCCGGCGCGCGTGGACTCGCCTAATCGAAACGGAACTGGAACTGTCCGACCACCGTGCCGCCGCCGCTCTCGCATACTACTACCTAGCCCCGAGAGAGGTTTCTCTCTATCTCTTTCTCCTTTCCCCCTCGTCCCTTCGTCCCTCTCTCTTTCTCTTCGTCGCTCTGCTGCTATTTCTCTTTCTTTCTCTCTCTCTCTCTCTCTCTCCTTTTCTCTCTCCTCTATGTGTACGGAATATGAGCAACGCGAGAGTCTCAGATGTGCGGCAAGA